TTTAATGATATTTATAATTTAAGCTCGGCATTTTGAACAGTTTGATCTACCCTCGGGCAAAGGCAATTTTGTGTATGTTTCGCTTTGCACACAAGTCAAAAGCTGAAAGTCAATTCCAGCCCCCAGTTTCAGCCTCTGCACCTGTGGACATATTTTAAAGCTCACTTGACTGCATATGCGTGTGTGTATGTGTGTGTGTGTGTGTGTGCGATAGTGTGGGAGAGTGTGTGTGCGGCAGTCTACCAGCAGGGCTGGCCGACCATGCCCCTCTGGTCGCGAGTTTCGGGAGCACTTGAAGGCGCAGCAGAATTTTTGCATGCCATGTATAATAATGTATGCCTGGATAGCCGGCCCTGTGTATCTGTGTGCATGTGCATGTGTGTGTGCTAAAGGTAAGCACTTCCGTTTCCGCTTTCATGATGTTCAACACACGCATGCACACACAGTCACAGTCACAGACACAGACTCAGCACACACACACACACGAACACAGCTCTGGCCTTTAGCCAGCAAAAGGTATACAAAATAAAAAGCAGAATCTGAAATCATCAGCAAAAGTTTCGCCGAGTTGACTTTGCATTTATGTTATGGCCAGCAGGCCACGCCCACTCACACTCAAAACGCCCCTGCCGCGCACACAAATCTAAATTATTTAAAGATAATTTGACTGGGCGACCGTTTGTAGTTGTCGTTTTGTTATTGTTGCTCGTATTTACATAAATGAAACGTCAAAACAAAATGCAAACTAACAAAATGCACAAAAAGAAAAGTTCGCAAGAGACTGAGCGAGAGAGAGAGGAGAGCGAATGAGTCAGAGGGGATGAGCGGGAGAGGAAGAGAAATATGCTTTGCTTGTTTGCGGTTACAATGTGCCTGTCTGTATGCCTGTGTGTGTGTGTGTGTGTCTGTGTGTGTGTATGTGATTCTTTCCCTTTATTTAATTCGACTGATCCAATCCTTTGTTAGTGCCTTACCCAGCGACTGGCGACATCTTCTTCTTCTTCTGCTGCTGCTGCCGCTGCTGCCGCTGCTTTGCCTTGTTCATCGTCGTCGTCGACGTCGTCGTCGGCTGCGGCTCCTGCGGCAAATTAAAATTAGTTGTTTACTTTGTGCAACATAAACAAATAAGGACTACCATGATGATGATGATGACGATGATGATGATGACGATGTTGATGATGATGACGACAAGGCGAACGAGCTACCAAAGTCCGGCTGTAGCTCAAGTTGGGAACTGCAGCCGTTGCTGCAGTATCTATTGAAGCATTATACTGAAAATTCGTTTTTGGTTGCTCGAATGCAAATTGAATTGAGTGAGACACTTGGCTGGCGGGCAGGCCAAGGCCAATGCACCCACTGCAAATGAATGGCATTTCCACATTTTCACACACTCGAAATCTAAGTAGAAAGTAATGAAAATAAATGTTAGCAAATTACTAAGCTTTAGTTGACTAACGCGAACTGGTCACACTGACAACGGTAAGCAAAGTACGCTGTTACTGGCGATCGCTGAAGTGCGCCAAAATTAAATATTATTTTGGCTTAGTTAGATCTCTGTTATTTGTATAAGTTTTCTTTCTTATTATTATTATTATTATTTTTTTTTACAGGTATTTCAGTGTTTTCTTTTCTGGTAATTTTGTTATTTTTGCTTAGCAGGCGTTTAATATATTGGCACGAAACGCCACCTAGCGCCTGTAGTAGTTAACATTGAACATTGAAGTGGCTGCAGTCTAATAATGAGACTCTCATTTTACTCTTTGTGTTCGACACACACAAACACTCATGCACATGTACATACATACATGTGTACATACACACATACATGTGTACACACATACATATGTATATCTTAAACCGCTCTAGCTGAGCATTTAAAAAAATAAATGCCTGTAAATTTGTATTTATTGGGATATTATTAAAAGTGAGTGTTACGCCTCATACAATCTATGGAGTCCACGTCGTAGCCTCCCGTTCCCGCTCCTCCCACCACCCAATTTACGCTAATTCCAAATGTACGCATTACCAATTCCACTTGGCTTGACTAATGAGCCTTCTACTGCACACACTTGACCAACTTTTTGGGCACACCCCAATATACATAGTACATTTAAGCGTGTGCATGTGTGTGCGTGTGTGTGTTTGTATGTAAAATGGCGCCACAGCGTCATGGGATTAACTGGCGCTGGCTGCTTGAGGGATAATAAGTGCATTGGAGCATCAAATCAATAAAACGCTCACATTGCACATGGTGGACAACGCACACATACACACACACACACACACACACAGACGCATACACATGCTTGATGTGCGGGTAGATGGGCTGGGGCTTGGGTTGGTTGGCTGGTCACAAGAATTCGCTGCATCAGTGGCTGCAATTGCGAAACATTGTTAATTTATGCAAATTTAGCCACCGCCGCCCGCTTTGTGCAACGCCAATGAGGCACGAGCGCTGCACTGGTAGCCGCAGCAGCCGCCGCAGCCGCGGCCGCAACGCCAACAACATTAACGCGCTGCAGCATCAGCGACAGAGCCACCGACACGACTTGCATAATTTGGAGCCCAAATAGTGGGTGTGGCATGAGGAGGGCGCAAGGGGGGGGGGGGTGGGGGAATTGCCATTTTGCTAGGCAACGCGCCTTTGCCTCAATTGCAAGCAACTGCATGTGTATGTGTGTGTGTATGTCTGTGTGTGTGTGTGTGTGTGTGCCAGTGTGCTGGTTACATTTTTGTCGACACTGGGGACACTGACAGATCCGGCTGCCAGAGGCTCAACTGGGTGCGCAACGAATTAGCACGTCGACTGTTTGCCTGATTGCCAGTCAAAATGAGGCCGTTAGCTGAGCGCCGGGCGCGACCAGAAATGCGTAGAGCTGCGCCAAAAAAGGCTCCACGGCATATACAAGAAGAAGGAGAAGAAGAAGAGGTAGAAGAAAGAGCAGCAGCAGAGCAGGAGCACTGGCCATGCATACAGGTGAAAGGCCTTGATATTCACAACAGGTAGACAAACAAATGGACATTCGAGTAATTTCTCAATGGTGCAACTTGATTGGGAATTGGAAAAGACTGGGGCAAGTCTCGATACTAAAGATATATGCCCGTTTAATGCAGATTAAAGATATCCCTTAGGGATATAGGAAGAAGAGTAAAACAATTGTTAAAAGACTGAGATAAGATTAGATATAATAGAGATGCTTGGTTTTGAGTGGAGTCAGGAAAGATCAGAATCCGAAAAGGTTAGTAAATTGCTTTCTCTTACTCTAGATATAGTCAGGCAGAGTCCTCTTTATGTTGGTAAGATGTGGTTCATTATTGTCTGGAAAGCGTTAAATTTCTATTTCTCAATGTTTGAAATCAGGAAAACATAATCTTAACGTTATAGCCTTAAAGCAACGATAATATAATGCACTAAGATCAATAGGTTCCATTTAAAAACAGTTCTTTGGAGTTTTGTCGATTTCGATTTAGGCTGGGAACAGTTTAAGCAAGTGAGAATCATGTGCTGACTGAGAGCAACAATGCAGAAGTCCGTTTTCACTTCTAGTTCAGCCAATCGAAAGACTCCCTTATACTAAGTAACTAATCCCAATTAAAGCCTTCCGTGTTGCACTTGCCTGCAATAGAAAACTCTCTATGATAATCTTTATTTATGTGCGATAAAAATACAATTTTACATAGCTTTTCCGAATTCTTTTCAGCTTGGCTCCGATTCTCCTTCAATGGCTTGCATTCTTCAATAAAAATAATGAAATGCACAATATGAGTCTCATTTGTGCATAATGTTGCACCAGCGACTTCTGTGGCACCCACAGTCGGGCAGGCAGCCGATAAGCCAGCAAATTGACGCCAATTATAAAATATATGTATCGGTTAATGTATGTGCATATCGTCTGTATTTGTGTGTGTGTGTGTGTGTGTGTGTGTGTGCAGCATGCAGCATACGCATATTCGCCATATGATAATACAAATATATGGCTAACTGTATTTATTGTATTGTCTAGACATGAAAAACCGCAGTGCCTGCATTGCATTTGCGTTTTTATTTTATGGCTTAACCGCATTAAATGAAGCAACTCGCAAAAAAGAAAGGACAAATGCAATGCAGGTAGCAGTGATACACACTCCAGATACCCTATAAATATTTATCTGATTTGATTGATTCCTTAGTTTGTTGTGTTAGCTTCTTTAGGCTACAAGGAGTTTGACTGAAAGTGGCCAGTGTAGCTTATACCCTGGAATTACAGTAAAATATACATGGTGGTTGAACAAATTCATACCCTGTAATTGACTTCAGATCAGATATGATTATATTTAGATACAAATCATTGCTGTCGGCTTAATGGGCGTATATTTTATTCTTATTCAGAGTGTGATTTACTTTACAGCGTATACCCTGGAATTGCTTTCAACAGTAAATATGCACAAAATTTACAATTTTGAGATCTTACAATATCAAGAGAGACCAGAGCTTTCGATAATTATCGCTAGCGGATTCGTGAATTGCCGTGTATCGAATTTATCATTTATCAATCAAACTTTGTGCCCTATCTATAGAGCGGAACGAACATGCCTGGCTGCATCTCGCTCGCCTGCATCATGACCACGTTCAACTTCCTTTAATGGATATTGGACATTAAAAAAGACGTTTAATTTAACAATTTGATGGCATTGCCAGCTTCAAAGGGCATACACAATGTGAAACATGGCAAAGCGCCTACGAAATTGCTGTTCAATTTTTGTTTGATGTAAGCGAGCAACCGACCCCAGCTCTGTCCGCCCACCCGCCTATCCGCCTGCCCACAGACCCATTGGCCATTTGTGTTGTCGGGTGTCGCTGGATTTTGGGAATTGCCAGATGTTAAGCTTATGCATACAATTAGTTCAGTCAATTGTTCAGGTGCAGAGGTCTTCGGACCTTTGCCCATAAATAATGCCTAATGCCACGCTGCAATTGTGTGTTATACAACTCAAACGACAGCCGGGGGAGGGGGATGTGGCTACCACGCCCACCGCTCGTGGATTTCAAAATATATGCATATACATATGTGGATTTTAGCTAACTGACTGATTTATCTTGACGGATCGTGTAGCTGTGCGATAAGCATTACGGGGACAGCCAGCGCATGTGTAATCTTGCTCTTATCACACTCGAATTCATGATCATGATCATTGCTGATCTGGCGGATTCCAGCTGCTCTTCCGCTTCACCCCCTTGATATACACAGCATTCGGCTTTATCGTGAAGCTTGCAAAAACATACGCAACAGATACAAAAAAAAAACAAAAAGAGAAAACGAAATCTCCCGAAGCCAAGCACCTTTGCTTGCGTCATTACCTGGGGCTTTGCAGACCCGCTGACAAACAGTAGCTTGCATAGATATACAATCAGCATCGGTACTTGCCAGATAAGCCAATTGGGCTTAGTCATGATCTATGCAGGAATCCACTTTGAACCATATTTCCGGCCTGTCAAGTCTCGTACTAGCTGAAAACAAATGCTCATTATGAATACACTTCTATGGGGTATTTCAATGATAGCATTTAAGTTGCTACAACTACGACTAAATCTAATTGATTTTCAAATAAACTGGATTTGAATTGATATAGCTAAGCAAAAAATATGATTTGCGTTCATTCCCCTAATAACTTACTACAGGGTAATTCACATTCAATGCGCCCCATTATTATTGTCTTTCCTGTTTGTTATTTGTCTTCAAATTTCTCTTTTTGGGCAAATAGCGCAAATTTGTCAAGAGGAAATGCGCAGCCTTGTTTAGTTTATGTTTATCAAAGAAAAAAAAAAAAATTCCAAAAAAAGACACAAATTAAAGCTTTAGACTTGGATTACGGACGGCCGTTAAGCAAATGTGTGAAATATCATCATTGGCTTAACTTAATGACCATCGGAAGCTCCAGCACAGATAGTAGCGTTTGTTAAACGTTTATTATTTTATTATTATTATTTGCACGAGCTGTGATTCATGGATTTGACCAACTTACCCAGAATTCGGCATTTGAATCTAGAGCATAGCTATTATTTTAATTACTCGGAAATTCTTGTCTACAACAAACTACCAAGGTCTACTTCACAGCCAATTAAACTAAGCCGGGGGGAGTAGGTTTATGGCTACTTGTATTACTATTACCTTGTGGTTTGTTTGCTGTTGGTAATCTCTGTAAACATTTGCTTAACTTTTTGGTTTAACTAAATTCCAAAATGTAGTTTATCTACAGCTATTGATAGACAAACTTGGCATAGATGCATATTGAGTTAACAGTGGCTAGCGAGAATTACTAAGTTTGGTCTTATCATTTAATAGCTTTCCGTAGTTTGAAATTATTATTATTATAATTACAAATTTAAAATTTCTGTTAGAAAAAAAAAAATAAATAAAATAAAAATAAAAAACAAATAAATAGCAAGTTTTGTTGAAAGCAGAATATGTAGCTCACAGCCGCAAACAGCTTTAGGCCGCTTCAGATTTTAGCTGCAATATCATAAATTGGTCGCAAACTTATCTGGGACAAACAAAGATAATCATTGGCTATTTACATAGCGTCAGGCAGATTCGCTAGAGATAAGTGCAGATGACATTAGTTGTTTATTTTCGTTTCGAATAAAAGCGACTTGCTGGCCCATGCCGTGAATAGTAACGATTTTTAATTCGAACCAAATACATAACGCACCTCGACGATGACGAACAAAACATTCAAGATTTTGATGTTATTTGTGGTAATTGTTGCATAGATTGTACTAACGCGCCACCCGAAAACCCAAAACCCGATATTCCCGTTCCCCACATCGTCACATGCCAGAACCTCAAATCAAAATTTGAAAATAATGAAATATTTTTTGTTTCTGTTACTGATGAGTTGTATTTTATTAACCATTTTGTGTGGCAACTTTACGGGCTTTTGGATACGCGTGACTAAAACCAAACAAACTAACAAAAGCTGCCGGGATTCTTGCTACTTTGGATATCGTTTATAGCACTCGGCGGCGACTCGAAAGTATCCTATGCAAGTGAAACTAAACCAGTGTAATTTGTTACGGTCCCGGGATTCCGACTTGTAACAAACAGTGCACCAGTGCGACCGATCGCCCAGACATACTAAACTCTTTATTTTCTTTCTTTTTTTTTTCTTTTTTTTTCCTTATTACCCTTATTTCCAACAGTTAGCCGCACTGTTCGATGGCCAGCATCAGGCCGTACAGACCAGTGCGCAGATCATTAGCATCAATTGCGGCGGACAACCAGCCATCTGCGTTGGACCGGCATCCTATCAGCTCTGTGAAAGGAATGTGGCAACTGGCAGTGTCCTACAGTGTCCACTCAGTACGCGCTGCATCAATGAAGGCGTGGAAATTTGTGTACCCGTTAAAGTGGATCCCAAAGCGCCCTCTGCTGCGGTTGCCAAGATGACAACAGTCACCGATCATCCGATTACCGGAGGCAGAGCATCAGCGGCTATCATAGAGTCCACGACTAGCTCTGGAGGCATTGTGGTTGCCAATAGCACTGAAGGCCTAGTGATTCTCACTACAACTGCGGCTTCACCCCAAACGACTACTCAGCTGCCCATTGAGACAACATCGGCTTTAATTGAGACGACAAATGCACCGGAGGAGACAACTACTAGTGAGCCTTTGCTAACAACTGCTCAGCCAATTGTTGAAACAACGCTTGCACAGGGAGAGACCGAAACAACTGTTTCTAATATACCAGTGGAAACTACAATTTTATCTTCCGAGCCCAGTACAACAGTAGATCCAAATATCCCAAATGCTCCAACTAAGCCAACTCTCCCGGAGATAACGACATTACCTCCAGTAAACCCAAGTGAGCCAGAGGTAACCACAATATCACCGGTTGACCCTAATGCACCCTTGGACCCAAATGCACCTGTTGTACCAAATACAACTGAAAGCACTGAGGGCACAACTCTTCTGCCCATTCGTCCAACAGCAGATCCCAATGCACCAGTCGACCCGAACGCACCAGTTAGCCCAGAAGCCACCACCATATCTCCGACGGACCCAAACGCACCAGTTGACCCTAATTCACCAATAGACCCTAATGCTCCTGTGGACCCCAATGCACCCGTTGATCCAAATTCGCCAGTAGATCCGATTGAGCCAGTTGATCCGAATGCACCAGTCGACCCTAATGCCCCAGTAGACCCAGAAGCTACTACAATATCTCCAGTTGACCCCAATGCTCCAGTTGACCCCAACGCACCCGTTGATCCGAATGCACCAGTTGAGCCCAACCCCCCAGTGGATCCCAGCGGACCAGTAGATCCAAATGCGCCAATTGATCCGAATGCACCAGTCGACCCTAATGCCCCAGTAGACCCAGAAGCTACTACATTATCTCCAGTGGACCCCAATACTCCAGTCGATCCGAATGCACCAGTGGATCCGAATGCTCCAGTTGACCCTAATGCACCAGTTGATCCCAATGCTCCAGTTGACCCCAACGCACCCGTTGATCCGAATGCACCAGTTGATCCGAATGCACCAGTTGATCCCAATGCACCAGTAGATCCAAATGCGCCAGTTGATCCGAATGCACCGGTCGACCCTAATGCCCCAGTGGACCCAGAAGCTACTACATTATCTCCAGTKGACCCCAATGCTCCAGTCGACCCTAACGCACCAGTTGATCCCAATGCACCAGTGGATCCCAACGCTCCTGTGGACCCGAATGTACCAGTGGATCCCAATGCTCCAGTTGACCCTAATGCACCAGTTGATCCCAATGCTCCAGTTGACCCCAACGCACCCGTTGATCCGAATACACCAGT